GTTTTGAGCCATCTTGATCTGCAAAGCAACCACAACTGTGTCATGTTTTCAAGGTAAGACACTTTGGGTTTTCATCAAAGTTCAACATTTAACTGAAGTCCATTTGTCACAAATATTCACATTAAAACTATATGAAAATCTCTGATTCCTCGATGAACTCTTTTCATCGGAAAACATTTGGCATGAAGTTAACAGGTATAGATTCCTTTATTTAAAAAAAAAAAATCAAACTCCCATCTATACTTATGTAACAAGAAATCATAATTATCCCAAATGAAAGAAATTTTATTTGTTTTGTATTTTAAAAAAATCACAATCAACTGCATTTACTTTTTCATGAACTTTGTTTTATTTTGGGATTGCACTATTTATTAATCTGTTCTCAACTTCATTCAGAATCAATCCACTATTTACATGCAATAATCATGTTAGTACCTGCTATAGTGTGGTTGTAAAGTAAGCATAGCTAGACTCCTGCATAACAAACACTACCTTAAAATGTTTTTCTGCTTCAGTGTGTTTTACTGGGATTTAATGTGATAGAGCAACACAAGGTATCCCATCGTTGTAGAGTGAACCCATTAATTTCAAAAGTCAAAAACTTAATGTGTCTTTTTAATCTTAGTAAAAAAAAATCCAGTGTAGGTGCAAATCTATCTCAAATCCTTCAAAAAGTAAGGAAACAGTTGAGTCTGTCAACCCATGAGAACTAGTCACTATGAAAACAGAAATAAAATCAAAATAATAAATCTTTCATCTCACTCTGCTGTTCTCCACAGGTCTGCAGCTGAGATCTCCACCCTGTCATTACTTTCTGTGCTTCTGTCTGTAACTTTGTTTTTGACGTGTCTTTAGAACAAATAATCACTCAGCCAGAAATATGCTGGCTGAGTGAAATATGCTCTTTCCTCCTAATGCATGTCATGAAGTGACTGTTGTAGGACTTCAGTCTGTCAAGTAATCATAAATCTATAAACTTCCCCAACATGAATGTTTTACAACTGTGATCACAATCTGATGACCTGGCCCCTTCCTACGTTGTGAAATTTCACATCTTGTATGATTTAAATATGTCTTGTTTGCATCAGAGTGTATGATGTGTAAAATTGTTCAAATGTAATAAAATACTCAGTGAGCTACATCTGTTGTGATTTGGTTGGAAACTAAGGTAAATATTCCACAGACTAAAGTGTTGCTTTATTTGTTTCATTTTCCAAAGACCAGTAAATCTGAAACGTTTTCACCTCATATAATACTTTTCTGGAGGCTGTTAGAGAACAGTGAACTCAGAGTCATCTCTATGAAACCACCTCAAGAATATTTTAGCTGTGTGATATGGTGCAAAGAAACTGAGACCTAACAGACCACTGGAACAGTTTAAATTGTATTAACAAAGCTCTTTCTTAGGGTTTAACAACCACTGATGTCTAACACGTAAAGAAATATATCTCAAACAGAAATAAAATCATTCTACAAACCATTAACAGGCTTTACTACACATGTAGAAACTCTTGTCTTTAAGTGCATCGCAGGAAAGCACATATATACAAAATATTACGTCTTAATGAAACGCCAGTGCACTAACATTTCCCTTTCACTGACATGGAACTAGGAATTTTGAAGCGTTTTGCAGCAAATACAGTTTTTCTTTTATTCCACAACACATTTCACTGAGAAGAATAAAAACTATTAGACCGGACATCAAGCAGCAAAAAATGGACCGCAGGTGCAAAAAATATATATATTTATCCGAAAATAAATGAAAATCCGTGAAAATATGTTACGTATCATTCAAAAATGTTTGTTAATTTATGTAAAAGTAACACCTGGTATGTTGTCGCAGGTGAAAAATGTACTCCTGCGTGTTACTAAACATGATACAGTTGAGCCTAAAATTATTCATACTCCTGGCAGATTTCAAAATAATTCTCATTAAGCCAATGAGTTTTTTTCTCAGGGGAAATAAGACCAGTACCTCTCCAAAGATAAAGAAAAGAAAAAAACACGTAAAAGGAGTCTACCTGAACAGGATACCGTCTATAAAATTCATAATTTGTCTGTTTTGCTCACTTCCTCCATCAGCTTCATCCACCTTCCAGGTTTAGACTCATTAATACTTAGGTTTTTGTAAGTTTCCCTTCACTGAAGTTGAAGGGAAACTTACAAAAACCTTTTAAAGAAAACCTTTTAAGTGCTTATTTTGAAATCAAAAATAGATTTTTAAACAGATGCCAAAGACTCTTTGAGTTGTGGTTAAGATGAGCTGTCTATTATTTCTGTCTTTATCCTCAAAACCACCAGTCTTCTTGGGAGTTTTATTTTACACTGGTTCCACAAACCTATTATAATATAGTTCTGTTTGCTGTCAACACCAGCATTAGTGTCAATCTTTTAGCAAGTTGCTATCTCAGACGGTCTATTGCCAACCCCCATGTGTGTCATCAGTGCAAAACCAAAGCACTAACAGTGCAACTTTCCTGTTTTCAGAGGAAGCGTGTCTCACAGCAAAGGCGTCTGGACAATGGATGAGGTGGAGTAACTACTTCTCCATATTTAAGATTTGGGCGTCAAACCTATGGTTCTGCTGAAAACTTTGCTTTGAGATTTCCTCACTAAAAGTGCAACAAAATCCTACTGACTATTTTGCAGCCTTAATCTACTTGTAATCTAGTCTTAATTGTCTGGAAAGATATGCAAGAAGTAAAAAAAAAAAAAAATAATAATAACACAAGTTGTCAAAATACCAAACACTTATATACATAAAACACTGTAAACATAATATTCTGAGCAGGAAATGAGAGAGAGAGTTCCATGAAGTCTAGCTATCTTTATTATTCTGCTCAGAGTTTCCCTTTGACCTGTTTCCTCGGGAACAAATACTCTTGCTTTTGCTCAGGATGCTGGTGTCGACTCGAGACAGGGTACACATGCTGCTCTGGTGACACGGCCGAAGTCTGGTGCTTTGGAGCTCCAGCTCGTCGTAGCTGGACATCCGGATGAAGGGACAGCAGCGGAAGACCTGCTTGAAGCCAGCCCTGAATCTGCAGTAAAAACAAGTATTGGCTCAATGTGCTTGTAAGATGGTTAGATGTACCTTTGAGTGTATATATTTTTTATACCAACCTGCTGTTGAGGCAGCAGTAGATGATGGGATTATACATGGTGGAGCTCATGGCCAGCCACAGCACTGACAGGTAAATCTGCTGAATGTACTTCCACTTGATCAGACGCTTATCGAGACCGGTTGCTATGAAGTAGAGATGATACGGCAACCAGCAGAGGGCAAACGTCACCACCACAATGATCATCATTTTCACCACCTCAATAAAGAAGCAGAAAAAGGCAGAAAATTATAGAAGGTGTTCTTTAACCCAGCAGATATATTTTTTATTTTAAAAAAAAAGAAAAACAAACAAAAAGAAAAAGGCTTGAAAGATGGAACAGGTCAGAGAGGTGTGAGGTGACCAGATTATGGAGGGCTTTGAAGGTAATGAAGATTAGAAATTCACAGATATGAGCATCAATATAAGCTCAGGTTCTTTTTCTGACTCTAGTTCTTGTGCTTGCTGTCACCCTCACTCTGTTATACATTACTGCGGTACATATTTTTGAGATATCTGCTCATAGAATAGAATAGAATAGAATAGAATAGAATAGAATAGAATAGAATAGAATAGAATAGAATAGAATAGAATAGAAGTACTTTATTCATCCCAACCAGGAAATTACTGTGCAGTTGCAGCATACACATACACAGATCAAATTAGAATATGAAAAATAAAATAAAAATAAGATAAATGCATAAAATATAAAATGTAAGATGTAAGATTCTGTACAGTATGAACAGTGAAAATTAATAATCTGTAAAGTCTGTACAATAGTGCTTTGTAAGCAATCTGTACAATATCGATTAATGGGCAGATATGTACAAAGGTAACTTAACATTTGTTATATAAAGTGATAGCCTGTGGCAGGAAAGATTTCCTGTATCTGTCCCTGCGACAACGGAGCTGAAGCAGTCTGTGTGAGAAAGTGCTCCGCTGTCTGTCAACTGTGTGATGGAGAGGGTGCAGCTTGTTGGCCATAATAGACAACAGCTTCTTCAACGTTCTCCTCTCCACCACATTTTCCAGGGTCTCCAATTGCAGACCCATTACAGAGCCAGCTTTCCTGATGACCCCATTCAGTCTTTTAGAGTCGCTGCACTGATGCTGCTACCCCAACACACAACAGCAAAGAAAATGGCACCAGCAACAATGCTGTTGTATAACATCTCCAACATCTTGCTGCACACATTAAAGGATCTAAGCTTCCTTAGGAAATAGAGTTGCAGGCTGAAGTCATGACGGACTTAGAGACTCCAGCGAAACTTACTGAAGACTAAAGTAGCAAGAAATTATTGACCAACTAAACCAAATAGATTCAACTAACTAGATTTTACCCAGATAAATCCACAGCAATAACTTTTAAAACAATCAATGCCTTCAGATACATATCAATACGTCAGGTGGATGTTGGCATTTAAAATGTGGTTTTGAAAAAATCTAAAAAAAAAAAAAAAAGAAAAAGAAAAATTTAGTAGCAGAAAAAAAATATTCTTGTTACTTAGCTGCCACTGAGAAAGTGAACAAATTGCCACAATTGTTCTAGAAATTGTAACGGGGGTATTCATAACAAAGTTTAAAAAGGTTTAAAGCCAGTTTTGATATTTTGAGGTTGCTGATGTTTCCATCAAGCCATCACCTACTGAACCATAAACTGGTATTTTTAGTTGAATTTACTGCTTTTGAATTTTATAAATGGCAGAATCTATCAACACCTGGCACTTCTAAAGTGGTTTTCTGTGTTAAATTGTAATGACTTAAATGGAAAAAGTCAATCTGTTTGACAGTGATTACCTGTCTTTTAACCCTATGTTAAAAACAAAATGCTCCACAAATCCCTTTGTTGACACTTAATAATAATAATAATAATAATAATAATAATAATCAAATCAATTTAAATCACTCTGGATTTGATTCAGTATTAATGTTCCAGTGAACGGCTCGACTGTAATGCACCATGGAGTTCATATCAGGTTTTCAAAAACTGTGCAGAAGTTGGTGGAGAATTACAAATACTAAACTATGCAAAGTTTTGAGAGTGTTGACCGATCGCTAAGTTTTCATTAAACATTTCCATTGTCAATTGGAGAAAGGTTGCCATCAGAGTACAGAGAAAGGTCGGCAATGACGCATCGGCCCCTGGTGGCCCCCAGCTGGAATGAGGAGAGGCCGGATTGATAGAGAACAATGCAGTGAGGCAGGAGATGCATCCTGGATTATGACTTTGAATGTTTGCATTTTACCTGATGCTGATGTTCTTGACATTAAATCTCTTATATTGTTCAGCTCAGACCAACTAAAAATTGGAGACTCTGATTGTGTAAGCGGAAATACTATTTAAGGAGTTGTTTTTGCGAAAGGATTTTGGCACCTCTCTAGGTCAAACTGACCTGACTCCTTTCCTTCCATTTGCGTGCAAAGCGCAAATGGAACAAAAAAAAATGACTTCGAAAGCAAGGCTGTTGACAGATAAGAACAACAATTTGAGATAAATTGTCCTATTCAGCAATTCTGAAATGGAGCAGATGTTGAGTTCATGAGGTCTCAAATATTTTTAAAGGTCGTCCAACACACACTTAGTATAAGGCACGGCAGAATCTTTACGCAAATCAAGGGTAGCAACGCCATTGGTTGAAACTTTCCAAACTCACATCAGTGAAGATGAGAGTGTATAAAAAAGGGTGATGTTAAGAATACGGGGAGATTTTTTGTTGAGACTTTGGAAGATTTTTGAGGATTGAACTGATGAAACTGTAATGAGGAATCCGTGGTAGTGTAATAAATCTCCGGCTCGTCTATGGCCTAGCAGCAAGAATTACATCTCCGTGCGTTATTTCTTTTACATTGAAGAGTATAGCCACCTTTCAATTCTCCAATATTTATTTCCAAAGGTACAATAACATCCACCTCCCTCTTTATCATGCTCAATCTGCATTTTATTTTTAAGTTTACTTAGGTTCTCAATAAACTACCAACAACTTTAAAAAAAAATAGATGGAACATAAAAAAATAAACTGTTTTCATCCCTTCTATTTTTATGATGTGTCTTATAACATCTGTTGAATGAGAACCAGATTATATCCTTGCTGTATTTTTAAAGTTCATCAAAGAAATTCACTGGTGGGAATAATCCCTGAGCTGTCTTGATAGATTCCCATCATCCCAGCTGTGACGTCCCTAATCCTTGTGCAGCCTACAGAGAAGCTTCAGCACTATTCAGTGACAGATGATGACGAACGACATTTAATCATTTGTCTTACAATGCAGCCTTCAGAATTACACAACAACATTTGGTACATTTGTTTATCAACGGGGGATTTTGTTTCTTTGTTTTTTCACAGTGTGAGAAATCAATTTTACATTTCAAACTGCCAACAGCTTAATGTGTGTGCGTATCCCCAGGCGTAGAGATGTTTCACAGGAAGCCCTGTTTTTTTTACGATTTCCACTGTTGGGTAATTGACTATGGATGCTACGAGTTGCCCCTTGTATTTGTCCTGAGCCCTGACTTAAGATTTAGTGTGCAGATGCCGTCCTGTGGACTTCAAGTTCCCACTCATAATCCCCCTGTGTATTTGTTAGTTAAGGTAACACATCAACAAAAACAATTCAAAACATGAATTTAAAGGTGCATAACTACAGGTGCAAGCCATAATTAGATGTTTTTCTATCCTCATTGATTTCTGATCAAATATTTGATTTCCACATGGTTTCAGTGTTTACAATACAAGACAAGCCAAAGAAACAACAACAACATAGGATTATAAAAAGTTATGTTGATAGATATTCAAATTACCTTCCTTTTAGCCCGGAGTTGTGCATGATAGTTTTCAGATGAGTCTCCTGGGATCTCACTTCCCCACAGCGACACTCCAATTACGGTGTAAGTGATGCCCATCACAGCTAACGGCAGCACATAAACCAGGACAGTAACTATGATGTGATACCTGGACAAATGAAGACAAACATTACCAAGACGCCCCAGAGCACGTGACGGACAACATGTCAAAAGGGAGAAGGACAGATCTGCTAAAACTGACAGTCTCCTAGCAATTCTAATAATGATGATTGCCGTGAGTGTGACCTCACATGAAGGGGTCGTCCACCATGCGGGGCCAGGCCACATAGCAGAAGGTCCTCCCTGGTAGAGTTCTGGTGGTGGAGAAGTAGCAGAGAGGGAAGGCAAGAGCCACGGCGAGGGTCCAGATGCAGAAGATAACTCCTAGTGTGACTTTAGCAGACAGACGAGGCTTCAGAGGATGGATGATGGCCATGTATCTGTTTGTTGGACATCACAATACACAAGAGAACTGTGGTCAAAAGTGAGCACAACACTTCTAAAAGTGGACTTTCTGAAACCTGAACATAGGTTGTCCTCCACTGCCTGTCCAAAATAACGTTGCCACCTGAATTTAGCAACGCAAACAGGTAAGAGTTTACCTTTGGACTACTTTCACATGGGCGTTGATGTTTCAGATATTTACCTTGAAATGGTGCAGTGATTAGTTTTTGATTTCTTGACGAACTAGAGACTTATCCTGTGTTTATAGAAAAGATGTTAGCTGATTTCAGAACTGTAAAATTACTGGCATTAAT